TCTAACAACTTAAAGAAAAAAAGATTTATAAGAAATCTTTTTTTATACAAACTCAGGTGGGCTGTTTGTTTATGCCAAGGGGAGGGAGACAGGAGAATTAAGGAAGCTGATTTAAGCACTGGCCATGTTAAACAAGGATCCAAGACAAATTATATTTTGGATGCACACTGAGAAAAAGAACTGTGGCAAAGTCTCCCTTAGCTTCTTAGACCAGCCTTCTTTATTAAACAGAAGAAGGCTGGCTTAAGAAGCTAAGAAAGATTAGCTAATAGATAGTTAATAGCTGTGCTCACTGGGAATTCCAAGAGTTGTTTTTAAAACATTTGGAGGGTACCAGGTAGAGGAAGGACTGACAAAAGGATTAGATGTTTGCTACTGGAAGAAAATGGAAAGGAAGAAGTAGTTTGGAGGACTGACAGATAAGAGTTAGCCTATTTCCCTGCTAAGTGTGGGTAATGGGGTTGGAATCCAATACATCTGGAAATTGTCAGATTAAGGAAAACAGGGCTGTTGTAATCCTTAAGAGCTGTATATAAATTAAATGCTATTTCTCCTATGGTATTTCTTAAATCTAAGGAAGTAATGAGGCCCAGGAAGCATATGGTATGGGATGCACTAGGAGAAAAGTCCAAATTCCGGAATCTAGTTGTGTTAACGTCTCTGTTACAAATTAAGTGCTGAGTTCAAAGCACTTCCTAATATCCTTAGACATAGCTTTTCCCACTTTATTTATTCTCACTGCCTGATATTCTTCTAATTCTCTTGCCTTTAGATATGGAAATCTGGAGATCTCAAACTGTGAAGAAGATGGGAGCCAGAACAATACCGAGACCAAAACAGTACTCAGGAAGTAAGTGTTGCATTTCTCTGAACAGCAAGAATCATAGCCAAGGTTGAATACCAAGAAAAGGATGTGGTCAGTGTTCATCTGGAAATTATACACAAATCAGTTTATTACACAAAGGAATGTAGGAACGTTGTCACAACTCTACAAAAGACCAATATCTTAGAAAGATGAGAAGTTAATTGTCAAAATAAAGCCAAACATAGAAACTAGAATTAGTAGATAAAATACTTGTGGGCATTATCCAACCAAATTAATTCTGATAAGTAGGTTGGGAAATACGTGCTTCAGCATCCCCCCATTGAAATAAGGGGCTTAAATACGACTGGATTGGTATTCCTTTTGCCTGTTCTTCACAACAATCACAACTTTATTCTATTCTGCTCATTTACTTAACTAAAAATTATCTTAAATTTTATGTTTGATTTAATATGTGAATGATTTCAGCATTGTGCTTAGAGGATTTTAGTATCTCAGTGCAAGATTTCACTGAGACACCCAGTTATTGCATTTATGACAAAGTCAAGCTAGAAGCTGTTTTTAGCTATCAACCTTATAGAAAACATGTCAGCTTGAAATAGAGAGCATTTTTAGTTTTAAAATGTACGAAGACTCTTTCCCTATAGTTGGGTGTGCTGCACAGGCAATCATCAAGAGGACGTTTAAGGATGATGTCAGAGTCACTGTTACTAAGAGTGGTTCCATCTTCACTGATTTGTTAAGTAGAACACACTGTTATTATGGGCCATGCATGAAACAACTTTAGCTTTTCCTCTTCCTCTCAAATATGCATGTCTGAATATAAGAATGATTACTTCTCTGAAACAGGGACAGCCAGTAAGGCTGACAGGATGTGAAATGCTAATGATGATCTGGACATATACGAAATGTAAATTGCCTTGATGTTCGGCTTTCTCTGCAATGCTGTACAGTAATTTCCAAAATCACTCTCAGTAAGCATAATGCTCCTTTCTTGTCCCTCATATCAGAGGTCCCCAACCTTTTGGGCACCAGGGACCGGTTCCGTGGAGAGAGGTTTTTCCACGGGTCAGAGAGTTTTGTGTGCTGCCTGCATCCCACAGATGGGGCTTTGCTTGTTTGTGCGGACCAGTTGCTGGCATGCTGCGGCCCGGTAGTGGTCCACGGACCGGGGGTTGGGGACCCCTGCCTCATATTATGTTAAAGTCAATTTTATTCACTTCACAAATTAATAGTGCAACATAAATGGCATATATATCTCCTAGAACTCCAGCCCGGATTCATCCATCTGATAAAAGAGATTGGTGTTTTCAAAAGTTCATCACAGAGTAAGCCAGTCTTTTTCTTTAGGAAAATCAAGGGAAAAGACTTGTGCTTGTTCAACTTTCATCTATAACCCCGTGAATTTAGTATGACTGAGGGAGAAATAATTCGGTGAGTTTCATTACTGAGAAGACTTTTTAACCAAACCAGATTTCCAAGCACCAATCTCAGAACAACAGTGTACTGCCTATAAAACTTAAACTTAAAATAAACAGAAACTTGAGGTTCCTGCTCCAGCATTTGAAAAGGCCCATAGTCTGATTCCTTTGTCCCTTCAGAAAAAGTAGCATGACTCTGAGCTAATTTATTAACCTTTCAGGTCTTGAGAAATGTCCTGACTTGGCATTGACACAATGTCTTTTTTGGGTTAGACTTTCTGATTTTTCAATGTCTGGCAGAAAATAGTCCCTGCATTATTCTCTCCCTCTGCCCTTTTGTCATGAAGTACTCACTGTAGCTCACAAGATAATTTAAGCTATCTCAGATATGCCGGAGACTTTGGCATAATATGGTGGAGAGATAAACTGGCTGGGCTTGGCTCCAGCCTAAGCTATTGATTTCCTTCTGGTGCTGGGCAAGTCTCTTGATCATTGTATATTTTTTTTAAAATTCAGCTACAAAATTGAACTGGATTATTGTAGATACCTATTTTTCCTTCTCCGAGACATAGTGGGTATTGAATTCCCTCCTCCTTGTCTCCTATAATTGCCTTCCTTTGGGAAATGATTTAAATTTTAACTTTGAAAGTATGTGTTATCTTTTTGCACTTCTGGGGCTACCAGTTATGGTATGCAAGTGTCAATATAAATATTTTTTTTAAAAAAAACCCTAGGATTATGGTATGCAAATGACAGTATAAATAACTAACTTTAAAAAAAAAAGACCTAGGAAATTGACTTTTAGATGTAGTAATTACTTTGTCAAATACTAGAATCTTTGAGGGTAAAATTGCAGGATTACTCTGATTTTTCTGAAGTATCATTGCCTTTGGTTTTGCTTTTAATGATGCACTTTCCAGTTTACTACTTCTCTGTGGTCAGGATTTTGTTGCCTTTGTCTCCTGTTAATTATTCCTCCAGTAAAGCAAGGTGTCCTCTTTCACTGTTATATAAATAATTGCATCGAAAGAATGGAGTTAGTTGAAGCAACCACTGAATGAATGTGAAAGACTTCTTTTATAGCCTGGGAAATCCACAGTGAGAGAGCTGTTTTAAGTTTTGTTTGTGTTGAGTACAATCTACGTTCATTCTAGTAAAGGGTAAAATAACAAAAGAAACCACTCTGGCTGACCTAAGGAGAAAAAAAGGCCAAATAGTGACAATTAAGAGAACTGGAAAATTGGGGAAGGTTCCAAAACAAGTCAAATTATTTGGACAATGGGAAAAGAGAGGAATGAGATCATAGTGGTTTAGTACAGACCACATAAATACCAATATCATGAAATTATAGAGACCTATTATAACATGCATCCTTTCATCTCAAGATCCTAAGTGTGTTTTCAATTTTTTTTGTATGGGGCCACATTCTGGACTATCGCCTTGCAGAATATTTATTCTTGTAGGGAATGGATGAATGTAGGATTCACTTAATAGATATTTTATATATATATATTCTGCAAAATTACAGTCAGTAATAAAATGTGATGGTTTTTAGTTTTCTTCAATGAGTGCCGTTATGTGCAGCTTTTAATATGTCACAGTTTGGCCATATGTTCATTGACTAGTTTAGCCCTGATAAATATGGCTGCCAAATGGATGATTGTATTTTTTTCGGTCTCATTTAAACCCAACAAAATCTGGGTTAATAATAGTTGAGCTCCAAGCTTTTAAATCTTAGGTTTTCCCTCTCCTGGCCTGAATTGTTTTGTTTATATCAGTATGGACTACAGAGGAGCTAGTGAAAGATTCTAGACTTCCAGTTAAAAAGCACGGTTTTCTGAAAGTACGCCCATGATTGCACATCAGTTTTTTCAACAAATGGACAGACAAAGTGTTAAAAAATTAAAAAGTCCTCCCCAGGAAAGAAAAAATTCATTTGGTTTATTTTCTGTTTAAGATCTTGGAAACTAGCTCCGTCTGTGTTTTCAGCTGGCAGAAACAGGGTGTTACTTTTCAGGGACGTTAAACATTGAGGCTGCAACATGGTTTGGCCTTCGATCCAGCCTTTTTCCGGAAAGCTTTCCTCCCTAATGAGCTGATTAAACAGTCAGCTGATGGGAGGCCGGTAAGTTATAAGGGCAGTCTGCATAGTTTGTTTTATTGCCTCTGTGTTGATTGACATGATTTTGTAGGGAAACTCAGAGCTTACTGTAACTTTGAACTCTACTAAGAGCGCAGCCATGAGTCTTATGCTTAATAATACTCACATTCTGAGTAGAATACAAAGGGAGAAACTTCACACCTTCCAAACAATAAAATATTTTATTTCCTCCAGGCTGATATGCTTGTACTGTGTGTCTAACTGTTAACTGATATTCCATTGAAATATTCCATTATCTGCTGGAGAAAGACTATCACTTTCTGAGTATAGTGGTCATTTTCACATTTCTGAAAAAAGGGTTCACATATATTTTTGTGATTTCTGTGATTACTTATGTGCAAATAATTGTTTGCAAATTTATACTGTGCGTGGAAAGTTTACATATATAGAATCAGTGTACCATGTCTAGAAGGGGATCATTATAAATGCTGAGCTTTTGCTTTGTTAGACAACTTCTAAGCTCCTGTTGCCCATTTTTATGGCTTTTCTGCCTTTAAGTACAACTTAGATGAGACAGCTCTTCCAGCTGACAGCAATTTTAAAAAGGAAAGCCTGCTCTATAAAGGATACAGCCATATTGATTTAAAGAGACATTAGGAAAGAGTACAGAAATTCAATTTCATGTAACATTCATACCATGCCCCAAAATAGGTGTTGCAGATTTTTGAGACAGGATTAAACTCCGTTAATACTGTAAGTATTAAATTTAAGGCTATAAATAGTTACGTAAGTAGACACTTCTTCCCTGGGCACCTTCAGACGGAACTATTGCAGTGTGTGTTACATGGGGCTGCCCTTGAAGAGTATCCTGAAGCTTCAGTTGGTACAGAATGCAGCAGAGTGAGCTGCATTGGCTGCCAGTTTGCTTCTGGGTCCAATTTAAGGTTTTTAGCCTCTAAATCCTTCTTGGCATGGGACTGGTTATCTGAGGGATTGCCTCTCCCTGGTTACATCAGCCCACCTCACTAGATCTGGCAGGATAGCCATGTTGCAGATACGATCAGCTAGAGACTTTCCTTAGGTGGATCCCAGGAGATGTGCTTTCTCTGCTGCGGCGCCCCCTTATAGAACATTCTTACCCCCAAAATTAGATTAGCTTCCTTTTGATATTCCGTAAAACTCTCAAGTCATGGCTATGTTGTCAGGCAACCGGAGACCTGCACAAATGACCCCATTGTCGAGATGGCCATATTTATCCTCCCTGTGCTATGGTTTGTATTTTTTGTTTTTATGATATTTATCAAAAAAAGTTTTTTAAAATTTTGTACATTTTTGTTTTTATTTATTGTTTTTATCTAATATTCACCATTCAGAGTCATTTCTGATGAGATGGGCAGCTATACACATTTGATTAATAAAATAAATAAATAAAACAAACCTCTATTGATGAAAATGTGTACACCATGAATCAACTTCCTTTCTCCAGAACTTTCATCAATGCCTTTTTAAAAGCTATAATCTTTTTTCCAGTTCTGCACATCCCCTTCACTAATGCTAAGCCAAATTATTGTTTTTTGCCAGGGGGCTGTCAGAATTGTTTGTTACCAAAACCTTTTGAAGCACATTGATGCAATGCTTCCTGATTTTGGGACTTCCAGATATGTGGACTTCAGCTTCTAGAATTCAGAGCAATAATTTTTGCTGGCTATTGAATTTTGGGAGGTGAATCCCATGTTTGGGAGTACCCCATAGTGGAAAATACTGCATTCATAAATGAGAATTAGGGAACAGCATTAAGATCCTCATTCATATCCTTGGGCAACGTTCTTCAGTCTTGTGGCATCCAAATGGGCAGGATTACAGTTCTCAGTATTCCCAGCAGCGTGGGCTATGTCCAGGCTGCCCAAAATTGATAGGTGCTGTTCTTTTAATGTATCAGGACGTTGCTGTATAAAGGCTTTGCTAAGGCAGAGTGGTCTGAGCTTGGAATGTGCACACTGTAGAGAAAGAGAACAAGACAGAAGTGTTTCCCATCAACATGTCAGTAACAATTTGTTGATTAGTACTTTTCTGCTGCCCTTTGCAATGTGCATATTGTCACAGTGAGGCCTGTTGAGCTTAAAACAGTTAATACTACAGGATTTATATGGTTTTTGTTTTCCTTTCAAATAATAACAAGAACACTCAGTCTTTTAACTTCAAGTATGTATAGGAGACCTTAGTTACAGACAGAAATCTAGGGCAAGTCTCCACTTGATACTGAGAATGTGATTCAGCCCTGAAATTCTGCAAGAGCTGAGATGTTTTAGCACAGTGTATTGGATGCTGCAAAGTGTGATTTTTAAAAGTTAGTTTTGGGTGAGAATAGAGGAAGGAGATTTTTTAAGTACCTTCCTGATTCCTTTACTTTGGATAGCAACTTTGGGGGACATGCTCATATAGCTGATTTGTATCAGTTTCATGGTAGAGCTGACCTGGCTTTCCTAAGCACATCTTGTTATGTATTTATTTAGTTTGCAATATTTATATCCTGGCTGAATCCTAACAAGATTGTGGGCAGGTAAGAACAAGATAAAAGATATAATCCAAACTAAAAAAAGCCAAAAATCAGGACAAGACACCATGAAATAACTAAGGCTGAAAGCATATTCAAACAAGTAAGTTTTAACTGGTTTGAGAAATGCAAACAGGGTTGTGGTAATAGGTTGTGGTAATACGTAGTTCTGGGGAGATAGTATTCCAGAAAGTGGGGATTAGAGGTTACAATCCTGAATCAGATACTAGTTCAGGTTCTCCAGTCTGGCTTGGGCTGGCGTAGAGTCGAGTCGAGTCTTCCAGTGTTGTAGCAGTCACAACTTCTGGAGACAAAGTTGTTCACTGATTAATTTTTCTAACTGTCAGGAAATTTCTCCTTAATTCTAGGTTGCTTCTCTCTTTGATTAGTTTCCATCCATTGCTTCTTGTCTTGCCTTCAGGTGCTTTGGAGAATAGCCTGATCCCTCCTCTTTGTGGCAACCCCTGAGATATTGGGATACTGCTATCATGTCCCCCCTCGTTCTTCTCTTCATTAAATTAGACATACCCAATTCCATCAACAGTTCCTTATATGTTTTAGCCTCCAGTTCCCTAATCATCTTTGTTGCTCTTCTCTGTACTCTTTCTAGAGTCTCAACATCTTTTTTGCATTGTGGCGACCTAAACTGGATGCAGCATTCCAAGTGTGGCCTTACCAAAGTGGTATTAACACTTCATGTGATCTTGAGTCTATCCCTCTGTTAATGCAGCCTAGCACTGTGTTGGCTTTTGAGTCCTAAGCAGCCACCGCACCTGGGAACAATTAAAAAGAGACATTCCAAATCTTGCAGCCCCACTTCCCAATTCCACGATAGTTTTCCCAGAGTGAAAATTTATTTGGAGGTGGATGGAGATGCTGGTTGAGCCCAGCACATCATTACTTTTTAGAATTATAGCACTATTGATTTTAACATATTTTGGGGTTTTAGGTTTTGTTGCGTGACCCAGAATATAATGATACTGATACAGCTCATTGTATGTGATGTATTTTTTTTTTTTTTTTGCAGTGCCATAGCCTCAATACTGAGAGCCTGGTTAGACCAATGCTCGGAAGATTTCCAAGAGCCACCTCATTTCCTTTGTTTGCAAAAACTGCTGGATTATCTGACCAGGATCATGCCAGGCTCGGACCCTGAAAGAAGGGCACAGCAACTCTTGGAGCAGTTTCAGAAGCAAGAAGTAGTAAACAACAGTAAGGATATTCCGCAAACATTTTAACAGCCAATTTTTATAAGGAAGCAGATTATATCATTGGACTGTTTCGGCATTTGTTATGCTGTGATATCACTTGGAATACAGTAGGAGGGTGGTGGAAAGGAAAAGTGGCTTGTAAACTTTTAATTTGGTGTGCTTAGTCAACCAGTTTTCTGATTTTGCTCTGTAGGAATGCGAGGAGCCAAACGCTTCTGCCAAATTCCCTAACATTTAAAATGCTGCTTTGAGATGATTATCAGCTTAAGTGCAGCTTGCAGGTTTTCAAAATAAATTCACCGTTGCTCTGATTTTTCACTTTTAAAATTGTTTGCTCCCGTGATCCAGCAGGGATTTTTCTATTATTACTTTCCTTTGCTCCTGTCATGACAAAAGGAAGTGTCTGTGATTGTTTTTTCCTATCTGAATGGTCTGGTGCTGACATCCGAGGACAAAAGGAAAATTTACGTTACGTCCAGTTTTACGGTGACCTTGTTACCACTTGTCATCACTGTGACCTTACAACGAACGTCACAGTCCTGACTATTTATCGGAAAGGGGAAGGGGGGGTTCTGTCTTGCAAAGGATACCCGTATTAATCGTATCGATCTTTCGGTAACCTTGAACGGACTACTTGTGTTGGTTTATTTACTTACAGGTCAAAAGTGTCTCAAGCAGTAGGAAATGGATGGGAAATGTTAGCACACACAATAAGGAATGAATGCTATAAACTTCAGGAATTCTTTCCCCTTTGAATATTATCTATCTGAATGTCGCAAAATGTACCAGTTATGCAATTAGTCATCCTTGGCACCAAATAAATGTACTTTTTTTTTTCCCAAAGGAAAAAAATCTAAATCATTCTTCTCATCCGAAATTTCAAAATCTCCTAGGGTTGTTAATTTGTACCTAATGAACGCATATATCAAACGAAGGAAGTCTAAATGCTGAGAACTATAATTAGCTGTTTACAGAATAAAAAGTTCCCACAGAACTTCCTAGGCACAGCAGATACTCTAGGTATAGAAGTCTTGTCTCTTAATTTCTCACTGAAAAAAATGGAACATTATTTCAGCTGAATCTAAGATGTTTTCAGTGAAATCTTCATCACATTAAAAAAGTTTAAATGTACATACAAGTTTTACAGAAAAAAAATTACAGGAATTGTTGTCGCTTGTGTAATATCTAACAGCAGCGGTCATCTCAGGAACCAGATTCTATAGAACAAGTACAATTTGTTTCCCTATTAATAATGCTTTCTAAAACTTCAGAAATGTTTACCAGTTTAGGCAGTCTGGATAAAACAGAGGCTGCATTTTAAATGAAATTGGTTCTCTGAGATGAGGAAAGTCTCCACAGTTTTGGATTTTGAATCACGATTGCACCAGTGGAGAAGGTTCTGAGATTCTGTACTTTTGATACAACATGCATATCAGCTATTTAGAGGAAGAAAGAAATCAATTTCCCCTGGCCCCGAGGAGACCTCTTGCAGAAGCCTGACTAACTTTTTGGATCTTACGCAGTGGTGGGATTCAAATATATGAACAACCAGTTCTCTGTGTGGATGCAGCTTCCGGAAGTCCATTCTGGGCCTGGGCAACAAAAAATTAGCTACCAGTTCTGCCAAAGTGGTGCAAACCGGCTGAATCCCACCACTGATCTTACCTACCCTTTTAACTTTTCACTTGGTTGAATTGGTTAAGGATGTTTTCACCACATACCACAAGTAAAATACTTCCTCAGTGCTCTACTTAAAAAATGTTTCTGTAACACTGAGTCATAATTGAAGCATAGGATAAATTAAAAAAGAGAATTCTGCTGGAAGTTTAAAAGAAAAAAATATGTATATATTTGGGACAAATCTAAAAAGATGGGGCTGGATTCAGGAAGGGGAGAAAGATCAGTGAGGAATAAATATTCCTTATCCTGCAATAGAGAATTACTAGACTAAAGCAGAGGTCCCCAGCCTTTTGGGCACCACCTCGCCAAGTCACCTCTCTCCAAAAAAGTATCTGGCCTCCCCCACACCAAAACACACGACGGACGTAGTACGCCTACCCCGAAACGAACAAACATACCGGACCAACGAGCGTACGACGCCGGACCAGGGCCAGGTACCTGACCCCCAACCCCTGGGGACCTGATTTCATGTGAAACCAGGTAAATTCAAAAGAAAAGGTTGGCAAAATTAAAGATCCATAGAAGTTCTCTATGAATTGTAAAAGAGAGAAATCCACAAATCCATTGTGATATAATATTGAACCTGGTATGAGAATATATAGTTTCCTGTTGTTATTACATTCATATACTGTATTTTTTCACAGTTTAAAACCAAACCGAGAGGTATCCAAATTCTTGCTCGGCATGAACAGGTTTTGAGCAGGCAATATCACTGTTCTTAAGATATCTCATAAGGTTAGGGGGAAAGTTGGCAGGACAATCTCTTGCTCATTCCATGAAATTTCCTAAAGTCAGATATGGATGCAACAGTAATACACTTGGTTCTTTACCATTGGTTTGCTGCATCTTGCGTTTGCTGCATCTTGCGTTTGCATCTTGTATGACTACAATTTGACTTATGATCCTGTGCCTTGATTTATGGCCATAATGACTTACAACCAAAAATCTGGTCCTAATTTTGATCATAAGTCGAGGACTACCTGTATTCATTCTCTCCCCTTCAACTTATCTAGTTCTAAAAACTCCATCCTCCATAAAATGGAGATCAGCACCATATTTACTAAGACACTCTACTAATCTATTGATCAAGATCTACTTTATGCAACCTCTTTTTTTTTTAACTTTCATTTCCCCTCATGTATTTTTCTGCCAAATTCAGGGAATTTCAGTAGAATTAGAAAGCTGCCAGTTATCTATTGCCAGATATGAATGTACTAAAATAAATTGGTTATTTCTAAAGGCCCTAAATTTAGAATCTAGGGCAGTTTGTTTCTCAACAACTTTACCTGGGAGAATCAACTCCTGGAATAGCAAATAAAGGAGAAAGCAAAACAAGGAAAACTATCTGCAGTTCCATTATTTTAAATCAGCCTCTGTAGCAACTTTATTTGTCTGCTCTTGCTAGAAGAGTTGACACTTTGATTCAAGTAAGGATGTATTCAGGAAGTCTCGCATATATTCCAAGCCATGGGTTTGTTATCCCGGTTGTTAAAAGTTAAATATAAGTGAAGGAGAAATAAAACAACTTCTTAAGTAGAGTAATGCTCTGTAGTGTTTCTATGTGCATACCACGGACTTCATTGCTTCGCTCTATCTTTTCCTCAACCCGTTTAATTTCTAGAATGGTTATTTTCTTTTTGGCCATAATCTTTTTGGATGTTCTAAGCATATTCATGTAAAAAGTATAAATAGTATAAAGGTCTTAGCCACCATAAACTCATAGCACTCAAACGTTTTCCTTTTAATACCTCTTAGCTACTCCCCATCTATTGCTATAAGTGGTCCTATCGCTCTGTCCTCAGCACATTATGTACAAGTGCTTGATGGGTAGTGCCTTTTGGTCTTTAGACTCCTTGCTTCACTTAAGTAGAGTTCTTTACATGTTTCTTGAAGTGGGTCAGTGCAGGATGAAAGAAGTCTCATAAAATATGCTCCTTCTATCATCTTGTTTCATGAATGTATGTTTAATCTCTATCCCATTTAGGAAATGTCCAGCTACAGGAAATGGAAGTTTTCATTAAACAACATTTAAAATGGTGTGCTTTGTTTGACCATGCCAACAGTTTTCTGATGTGGCCATGGCCTCTCTTTCTTTTTCTACTCTTTTTGTGATTAAAATCATAATCCTGCTTTTGTCTCAAACTAGTCTTCAGCACAAGATCTAACTTCAGTTAGACTTACATGAAGTAGGACGAGAAGACACATTTAGTCAATTTTCACAATACTTTATATCCTGACAGGTGAGATTCATGATATATTTGCAACTGAAGAAGAAACAGAGATTAGTAGATCAGAAGAATTTTCTTCTTTCCCAGAAGACCTTGTAGCGGAACAGTTAACTTACATGGATGCTGTAAGTATAAACAGATGTATACTTAATGTAAGCCTAAATAGAGATTATGATTCTGAAGTGTTTGCTTTATTTATTCCTTAAGTTTTTATTTAGCTTTCCAACCATATGGTATCCAAGACAGTGAACAGTCAAATATAAACCAACAATCAAAATATAAAAACAAGTTGATGAAACATCAAAAAACTAATGTATACAATTTTAGTTGATGCAAACAGCTGATTAACCATATGTGACATTTTGATTCCTCTTTGGAAAATGTGCTGGGTTTATTTCTATTGTTTTTCCTACCTGAGGTAAAATTGCCCTTTATTTACAACAAAGTGGGTTGTTAAATTGCTTCATCAGTTTTCCTGGTAGGCTCACTGAATGAAGAAATTATTAATTATTAATCAAATTTATATAACTACCCATCTCATCAAAAGCGACTCTGGGAGGCGCACAATAATCAAATGAAAACAACACATGTAAAAACTACAAATATGAAACATAGGAATCTGTATTAATGTTTATCATAAAGCTAAAGGCAAAGGGGGGATAAAAATGATCACTTCAACAATGGAGCCATTTAAGTAATCTCTGGTTGTTCAAATTTCTTTCATTTGGGAAATTTGCACATCCAAATTCTGTAACTTTTCTTAATCAGTCTTCTCTAAGATTATGCAGTTATTATGTACCTGTTTTAAAACTTGGAATCAATTTATAACATCCATTTTTTTCCCCAAAACCAAACAACATTTGATTAAAATACATAATACTTGGGGGAGGGGGTTTATCTTGCTTTTTTTCTTTCTTTTTTTTCCTTTTTTCTTTCCCTCCTTAGCTTGTGTTTTAAAATTTTTAAACTTTCTCTTTCTTTAAGATTAAATGTTTTGATTATAAACTAAATATTTTTAAAAGATACTTAAAAGAAACTTGAAAGAAACTTTCTTAAAAGATACTTTTATAACAGCATTTGATAAAAAATAACTAAATTACAGTAGAAGATTGCTGATTTTTTAATATTGCAAAATATTGGAAAGCTTAAGGCAAATAGTGAACCAGTTAAATGACTCCTTAGACATAGATCATTCTCTCTAAAGATTGATTAAAGCAAGTTTGTTTATGTAATATGTTTATCTGAACTAATTGTCATATGTTACTAATTGCTGATTGCTCACCAGTCCATTTTGTTGTGCTAGATGTTTTTCTGCAATTGGAAACTGATAAAAATGTTCAAAAGAATTGCAGAACTTTGCATGAAAGTTTAAGTGGATAGGGTTTGATTCAGTTCAAGGCAGTCCATGAATTGAATTTTCAAATACAGTACATAGGCAAGCCATGATCTGAACCTCTTTTTGTTCTGCTTTTTTTTCCTCATTTGACTTTTTTGTTACAGTGACATTCAGATGTAGAATGATAACCTTAATGATGTTTTGTTAGTTCAGACTTTGTGACAGGCTACATTTAATGCAAGTCTTGGTTTGCAAAACCATTTTAAATCCTTTTATTACTCTAGTTATTTGATTAACTGTAAGACAGTCTGTTAATTACAGTAAATTCACAGACTAATTATGTTTTACAGTCTGTAAAACTTAATTAAGCTCATATAACTATAATCTAGAAGAGCATTCAGATTAAATTTATATATTTTATTTCCAAATATTATATTTCAAAGAACATTCTGTTTTCAAATAGTATAGAGCAAGCAGTATTTGCTTATTATTCATGGTTAAAAAGCCTCATGTCTCACATTCATAGCTGTTGACCTGTTCTAGATCATGTCAAACATAGTTAAATGAACTATTAAATGCACATATTTAACACTTTGCAGGTAGATCAGAATTCAAGATTTACATCTCTTCTATATTTATCAACAAAATAAAACACTCATAAATTGGATGTTGTCAGTCTTAGCTATCAGTGACTTATCTCAGGTTAGGTAGAGCCAGCTAAAACATTACTGTGTTTATGAAATCAGAATATTTTTAATGAAAATTGATTGCCAGAAGTTCAGTTAAACAGGCTGAATTCTCACTATTTGTCTGATATTTTTTAAATCAGTTTGAACCTTTTTTCTGTAGGGCTAGTAGATGGAATGAAATAATAAAAGATATTCAACTGTTAAGTTATTCCTAAACCAAATTGCCAAATATTGGACTTGACTATTCAATTCCAGGCAGGCAATTATTGTAGAATATTTAAAAAGCATTGACTCACCACTCATTCCTCATAACAGCCTTATAAATTTTAATAAAATTAAACAAACAACAAATATTTTCTCAGCAATATAATAGTCTGGATGAAATTAGCTAAAGGAATGCATGCATACGTACATAAAAAATACGTGAAGTAATTCTTCAAATCCATGGTTTTAAAGTTGTTCATTGATATGAACATATGTGAACCAATCATAAAGCCCAATAATGCACATGTATGTTGCTCTTTCCATTTTATGCAATGTAATAAAACTCTATTAATGTTGCAGGAAAAGCTGTGCGACATAAAATAACACACGGGTTGCAAATAAACAAACCATGGATTTGCATTGGTAGATTTATGTCTCTAACTGTTGCTTTTTGCTGGGTTTGCTGTACAATTCCCAAGCAATTGCTCTATGTGGAAATTATAGTTACAAGAAATAAAGGATTGAGTAACCACCAGTGCTGAAACTCTATGTTTTAGACTCATTTTCCTTTCAGACCCTGCTCTGCTATATTTGCTGCATTCTGGTATTTGATCATTCACAAACTAGAACCGTGGCAGATTTATACTGTTGCAAAGAAGTTTTTGTTGCATCTCTGAGTCATTCCTCTGAGGTTATTTGTTGAAAAATGGAGAGGGAGAACTCTTTCTTTTGAACACTGTAAAAGTAAACATTGGAAAAGTTTAAACTGACTCTTGTATTATCTCATGATATTTTTGTTTGCTTATACTGTTCTTGCATATAAGCATATACCCAATAAATATTACCGCCACTACTAAAAAAGTCTATTGCTGTCTATGAGATTCATGGGGAAAAAAGTTGTGCCTGTTGTCAGAAAGGTTGGAATGACCGCCAATACGTCTAGTAGAAATAAAGACAACTGGTCTTATAACCTTGACATATTTTATGTGTTGTTCCAGACACTGTTTAAAAGAGTGGTGCCACACCACTGTTTGGGCTGCATCTGGTCTCGGAGAGATAAGAAAGAAAACAAACACTTAGCTCCCACCATCAGAGCCACCATTGCACAGTTCAATGCAGTCACCAAATGCGTCATCAGGATCATTTTGAATGGCAAGGAGCTGAAAACCCATCAGCGCGCCAAGATCATAGAGAAGTGGATCAATATTGCCCATGTAAAGACTCATTTTGTTTCATTTGCCATTTATACAAACACTGGGTTGTGTGTGTGTGTGTGTGTGTGTGTCCCCATTATAGCATGCATAAATATCAGGGTTCATCTAATCCCTATCTTTGAGTGTTTTTTTCTTCCCCCAATAATATGAATAACAGGTAGACTAGCTTTGGGCATAACATATCAGATGAGCTTGGAAGTGCAATAGAACAGAGTCAATTTTTTCTGGATGGTAGAAAGGCTTTGACATTTGTTGATCAATTTAGTTTGGGAAGTAATTCCAATCCTTTCCAGTCCCATTACTTTCTGATTGCATTTATTTATTTGTTTGTTTGTTTATTATTGCTGCTATCCAAAGTGACTCTGAGTGGCTTATAAAGTGTTTTATAATTTGAATACTGGCATTTCATGAGATAACAATATTTTGTGTATATTACATTTAGTTATTTTCACTCTGATTATGCAGACTATACATGTTTCAGTTGTGATAAATGGAAACTATAATATTAATTTAATGATCAAAAGATGAAGAAAGCAAAAACACAGTAACCCAACTGTAGAAGATGTTTTCACAGCCAGAAAAACCAACACATTTTTTTAAAGAATTGGTCAATGCTTATGCACTTGACAGGTTCTTTTTTTAAAAAATAAAAATTCAGAGCAACAATGCTCCTAAAAGAGTAACTGAGTCATGTGTAACCCTTCTCTGTTCCCTTTATAGGAATGTAGGATTCTTAAGAATTTCTCCTCTTTGAGAGCCATCGTTTCAGCACTTCAGTCCAATTCCATCTATCGGTTAAAGAAAAGCTGGGCATGTGTTGCAAAGTAAGATCAATTTCCCACCTATTTTTGGACAGTTGCTAGTCATGACACCATATAAGCATTTTTAGCCTTTGGGACTTCAGTCATGGAAATCTGTAATTTACAATTCCTGTAGAGTTGATGATGGGATGATGCAGATGGGGGGAAAAACTGAAGGCAGCTAGTAATCAGCAATAACAAGACTTTTAATTTCTGACTAGCAGAAATGTCTCTAAGGATGCCTAATTTAGCTATTGATGTTACTATTTTTCTACACTTCTTCAATTACAAAACTATCTAAATTCTCTCCAAGTCCTCATACTAAGGGGAAAAAAAAAGTTAGGAAATCCATTAATAGTGAGAACTAGTGTGGTGTAGTGGTTAAGGTATGTGACTTACACTGGGGGAATCTATCCTCGGCCAAGGAATCTCTTGGGATGATTTTGGCCAATCATATTCTCTTAGCCTACTCTACTTCACATGACTGTGGTGAGGAAAAGAAGCAGTTACTTTGCTTTAAACTTCTGAACAAAAAGTAGAGTATAAATGCCTGCATTTCAGAGAACCTAGAAGCTTGGGGGATGGATTGGGTTGTTGCATCAGAAAAATTATTAAGAGAGTACAATGAACTTCTTGTTTAACGTTATGGTTAGAATAATATTCTTCTTGCTTGGACGGTGACCTAAAAGAAGAGATGTAGTTGGGGATTTGCCTGGATTCTAAATCCAAGAAATCTGCTTGCAAGATGATACCATCATCACAGCCTAATTTTAATCAATGGAACAAATTATCATTAGCTTATTTTAGGAAGACTGAAAACGTTAAAATCATTCCATTTTATTTTGTACAGAGACAAAATGTTGATGTTTGAAGAACTGTCAGAAATTTTCTCAGATCATGACAACTATTTGACAAGTCGGGAGCTACTAATGAGGGTGAGAAGCAACAGATATTTCAATGATAGTGTAATACATTACAACTACAGGGTTCAATTTTGGCTAAATAACTTCCAATATATACTATTAACTTGTGAATAGATATGCTGGTAGAAGTACTTTAAATAACAAAGATTATCTTAAGTCTTGAGTAAGCTGTTCTCTATATGTGAACATATGTATATGTTTAATTCACTGGTCCAATTTATGAATGGAAAATAAAAGTTTCATGTATTAGCAGAAACGTCAAAGCAGGCAACTGCTGATATAAGATGCTACAAGTCCTATTTTGGTTTTACTGAATGGTCAGTCTGAGAATTGTCCTTCTTGGCTTATATAAGATCTAGTACAAAGAGGCTGCCCATTTGAGTCCAGAAGGCCATAAATGCCTCATTGAGAGAGAGAAAAAGAAAGAGGTCTCAGCCTCTTGGAAAGAAATTGTGATCAGGCTACTCCTAAAGATGCCAGATTTGGATTTGAAAGATAAAAACAGCTATAAGCTATTGTCAATATTCCTTTCCTAGATAAGGGCCTTGAGTGGGTAGTGACTGATCAGCTGCAGACTTTCTTGTATAAAACTGATTTTTCAGATCTATTTTAATCCACTCTCAGATCTGGTTATGAACTATCTTGGTCATCAGATCTGTCTATTAGATGAACTGGGCCAAGAAAAAGACAGGCAGAGTGTGACTCTATTGTTCCTCCTGGACTTAAAAGCAGGTGGCTTTCGGTGCGCATGCATTTAAAAAAAATAAATGGGGTTTAGATTAGCTGTGCAAAGTGCAATATTTTGAGAGAAGAGAAGATTCCACTTGATTCGAAATTGAACCAGACTGCTAATACTGAAAACCTAAAAGTCATTTGAGTGATTTTCAAAATGTTTTGTTAGAGAAAGCTGGCAAGGATTGAGATGCATCTGGTATGAGATAGCTCATCCCATAGGAAATTATCTGAATATTCTGTGCTCTTCCAGTGAGACAGAGATAAAAGATGATAACTGTGAAAAGTCATTAAACTATTCAGAGGTAGTTACAGGAAAAAAATTACATATAAAATAAACAAAAAGTGGTACAAATGTACAATATACATGACTCTAATCTACTCCCTGAAAAGCCAAAGGCAATGTAAACTGAATTATTAATGGGGAAAAAATATCCCAACTGCGGAAAAATAAGTGAAATGATTGCAAATGGAGTTTTATTTATTTATTTATTTTGTTTATGACTGTATAGATCTCTTTAGTCAACTGAATTTAAATGCAACCACCAAAACCAAAGTAACAATAATGATGTACAACAAGAAATAATTCAACATATAATTAAAGTACTGTAGTTGGTGACAATAAAAATAATAATGTTCTTGGTGTCCAGAGCTTAACAATAGTCAAGTCTTGAAGGCTTTCTGGAACAGCCTTTTAAAAGATCATGAGAGTTGCGGTTATTCTTATCTTGAAAGGAATGGAGCCCCTACAGAGAAATTTCACTTTTGGACACTTCCATTTGAACCTCCTGAATGGTTGGGATCTTCATCAGGCATTCTCTGTGCCAACAGATTGTGTGGGCAATATCTATATGGGATGGGTAGTCTTGAAGATGTCCAGGACCTTTATAGCTGATAGCCAGGACCTTATACATTATATTCAGAATGTATAATAGCTAATACCGCACCTGTAGCAGCTGTGTTACTAGCAATATTGAGATTCACTGATGACCATACAATTGAACAATTGACATCTCCATGCAGGAGATGTCAAGGGTATGAGTGACCAATGTCAGCAACTCTGAGAAAAATAAGGCTACAATGGGTGTACCAGCCAAAGCTGAGCAAATCCTCATGATCATGGCCTCCACCTGGAACAGGAAGTGTAATTCCAGGAAGTGTGGCCTGTTCACTTCAGCAAAGCACAAAAATGTTTATACTTCTAAAATCAGCGAGCTTCTGAATAAATAAGCACTCCAACTTTCTACGGTTGAAATTGTGTATGTTACCTCCCATCTACATCTTGATAGTCTCCACATAAATGCTTGTTTGCATCCTCTGTTCAACCCATGGTGGAGATGTACAGTTGAATATCATCCACAGGCTGACATTGCATGACAATATTTATCTGTGTTGTAGATCATTAAGCATCAAGTTGATAAAAGGGTAAAACTTCTATGAATGAATACTGAGTTGTATCTGAGATTTCAAGATGTAGAAATTATTGAAATACTTGGAGCAATAATCACAGGACAATGAAGTTCTATCTATGTACAGGATTTATAGAAAATTACCTTGATTGTCTAGAGGAGTCATCTTTAATTTTAGAAAATGCTGTTTTTAAAAATATAGAGATTTACTGTAAGAGAAAGTCAAAAGGCTATCTAATTTTCTTAGGAAGTTTGGGGGTTATTTAAATGTATGAAATGGATTGGAAGAGACATGAAATTTTCAGGAGGATGACAACATCATTAAGTTAAATAGCAATGTAATGGAAGCCCATAAAAAGTGAGGACATTTCTTTAACATACTTATTAAAATGAAGAAAAAGGTAAAGATAAAAACTGAGAAAATCAATTAAAGAAATAAGAACAAATTACTGACTTTTTTTCATCATCATGCACCTGAGAACAAGTTGTACAAAACATTGTGCAGAAAAACAAGTTAAAACATGGCAGCAAGTTAATTTTAATCTGTTTCAGAGGACCAGGTCATATTGTGAAATATGGCGCCTGAAATCATAGTGTTACTGGTAAAGTGATCCCCAAGGCTCAAGTTGTTGGAACACAGAAACATTTTCATTTCCTGACTGTCTCCTTGTTAGTCAGCAAACCAAAAATATTAGTCATATTGTAATGTAAGTGTATAAGAAAAAAACCCATAGCATTATATAATGGAAAGGAAAAGATTAATAATAGTTTGAAATAAGTTGGAAACAAACTAAGAATAAGAAGATATTAATTGTCCAGAAGTAGTAAGGTTGTGATCCAGATGTGCCTAATTCAGAGAAAACTGGAAATGGACAAATACTTGACTTGGCTCAGAGGCATTTTGCAAGTCAAGTTGACTTGCATTTTGGAGCAACCATTCCTCACTTTCAGGAAACTCCTGAAACATTTCTGTGTGACCCTTTTTATTATCTTTTTGGTTGTAAGATGAG